CTAAACTCTGTGCATTTATTGTCTTTATTCAAGATATCCCTGTGGGCTTAGAAAAGCTGACCTAAACGTCTGTAGACTACTGTACAGGTGTCTTTTGAGTCTTTTTAGCTGAGTGTGAAACTGGCCACATTGAAGTTGCTTCCTCAAATGCTAATCCCTGATGCCCTAAAGGAAATACTGCCTTTGTTAGTTTTGATTTGTCCTTTTGCTTTGCAGATTATTCCTTCATGTCCATTGGTGTGCTCCGATGCATTACACTGGTGTTCTCAGTCAGATGTATGAATACTGTTCCATTTATCAAAGGGCCATTAAGATCACCTCTCTCCCTGCTCAATATGTGCCAACTAATACCCCTTACCTGAGAGTTTCTTGAAAATAAGAGCAGAACCAAAGCACAGCCAGGAGTTAAGTGATCCATCCACTAATCCCTAATTCCAAGCCCAAGCGTCTGAGATCCTCCTCTTAGTCCTTCTGCGAGCTCTGATAGGGTATTCAAAATTTTTAATACCATTTTTACCATCAATGGTTATCTTTTTATTAGTGGTGTAATACTTGAGTTCGGTTGCATACTTAATTCCAGACTTAAGTTTTTTTTATTGTCTCAGACTAGTATTTGTACTTAAAATTGTCTTGGCTATCAGTCTCGCCAAATTCAGTCTGTCGTGTCCAACTACCATTCAAAATAATTCTAGTTTTTGAATGTTTTTCTTTTACCTGTCACCAATGCAAACTGACTCACAGCCAGGCAACTCAAAAAGGGTTAAACTAGGCAGGAACCGACAGGAACAGAGCTTTGACATATTTGTTTGGCAAACAGAGCAGATCCCCGGAGCTGTAATTTAACTGAAATGGCAATTGTTTCTAATGACAGACACAGTTGTCCCAGCTGAGGAAGCTGAACCAACATTTAGGTGGCTTTCTGATTCATTGAGAGTTAGGGGTGGGAATCTCTAGGCACCTCACGATTCGATTTGATTACGACTCAGAGGGCTGCGATGCGATTATAAAACAATTATCGATGCATCTTGATGCATCTTTTTTTCTATACAAAAAAAAGGATGGATGGATTCATTCAGAGCAAGCATGGGTGGGTTTAACTGAAAACTTTCTATGCACTGAAAACGTTTTATGTAAGTTATCTGACTAAATTATCCGACTAATTAAAGGGTGGATGCACATCTTATGTATTTTTGAATGTAATAAGTTTATTATTTGCTTTTTTGATCAGTTACTGTTTAGGAAGTGGAGCAGGGACCTTTAAGTTAAGACTTTGAACTTTTAAATGTAGGCGCACATATGGAGAAGAGGGGGTGGCAGCCATCTTGGGGAGAAAAAAGGCTGAAGGAAACTTCAGTCTGGAGCCTCAATGCCAGCCTAAAAGGAATGTAATACTCCCTTTTTTCCCAGTTTTCCTTTCTTATTGTTGATTAATTTTGATATCTGGGATCGAGCCAAGAAGATCTTGTTTTATATTGTGTAATTGGGCTTTTTTTGGGGGGGTTAGTTTGTTTTTTTTAAACTGTTCTCTATGAAACTGAAGTCTCTTTGAAAATGTTATGAGCATCTTTGGGAATATTAACTTTTGTTTTGTACTTTCCTAAACCCAATCTAAATGCTTGGTTTGCGTGATTGTTTTCTGTGGGTTTAAATGGATTTCAAAACTGTTTTCTGTTGGCTGTTCTGCTTAACTTCTTGACATGTTGTATTCCTTATTAGTTTAATTGCATCAATTAGTGTTTGTAAGTAGATGAGGTAATATTATGATCTTTATTATTATTATTATTATTATTATTATTATTATTACTATTATTTTTAGGGTTTGCTTTGTTCTGTGGAAAGAAAAACCTTACTTTGCATTTTAATTTGTACAGTAAGGAAATAAAGACTAGTTAAGGCTTGGTTTTGAAGAGGACTCGACTTCATTTAGATTATGCTCTCATTTGGACTCGGTCTTGACTTGTTCTCAGCCCCCTTTGGATTTGGTCGATATTGACTAGTCAGTCTTGGAATTCTTTGTCTCAGCCAAGCCAATCTTGTCTACAGCCCTAGTTTTTATGCTGTGGGAAACGTACAAGTTATTCAGACTGGTTGTGCCATTAAACTGATTAGTAGTCATGAAGCCTTCTTGTGGAATTCTCTTTAGGTCAAGGGTAGCTTCAACAGCTGTACAAAAACATAGACCACACTGAAAGAGGGTAATTCCATGTCAAATCATCTAAAGAATGGAGGTTTCAACACCGTCTGTCACAGAAGCTACAGTGATGTCAAAGGTATTTGTTTATGAAAATGTTTAGCTGATTCAATAAAAAATGTAAATTATAACAACCATAATAATATAACCAAAATACATTCAGAGGTGTGATATAAATCTCAATTGCTAAACATGCATTTAACATGCATTAATATTAGTTGATTGCAGTAAAGAATCAGATCTTCCCAAGCTGCAAATTTTGATTGCATACAAAATACAAAACTACATACAAAATAGTTTACCAGTGCTACAATTACATTATAGGCTGTTCAGCATTCAATATGAGTCATTTAGGTGCTTTATTTTTTCAGGTTATTTTGTTGGTTATGATTTCTCTGTGAATAGAAATGGACAAAGGGCATAGCTCATATAGGCATATACTGGTTATTAAATCTATGTAAGTATTTAACTTTAATATAAGTTAGGGACACCTCTGAACACAAGATGGCTGGCTGTGATTGCTAAAATGTTTCACTGCATCCAATAAACAACCAAACCAAAAACATGCTCAAACAATGCCTCTGACATCACTTCTACTACTCTCCGAGATTTGTGACAGGTGGTGTCTGGCCCCAAACACTTGACACAGAATGATCCAAAGAACAAAAACTGCAAGATTGACAAACATAGAAAGCACATATATGAAACATGAGACGAAATAGCAGAGATGTTCCACAACAGCAGTCCCAAACACACAACAGCAGACAGGATTAGTTTAAAAGCACACTTATGAGTGAAGAAGCATGTAAAATGGTGCCAGTCTGTTCCATGCAATAGTAGATGGTGGCCTCCAAGTAGTTAGTTTACAGTCAATGCATGCCACAAATGCCTCTGATTAAAGAGCAACAAAGACAATAGAAAAACAGATATACTTTGTGGCAATAAAATTCTTTTATGCCATCTGCAATCAAGTAGACATGTATATGCAGACACATTGAGGGAAAAAAATGGGGGGGGGGTGAGTGGGTGTGTGTGGTGGTGTTGGAGGGGTTTGGTGAGAGAGGGGGCAGAAATCATTCTTTCACACATCTTTCTTGAAACAGAGTGGGGTTGCCTGCATAAGGCCAAAAAGGATGATGGCAAGAAAAGATTTTGTTGCCTTTCATTTTCTGTTGTTTATAGTATGGGGGATGCTTCATTTTAGTCTTATGTTATAAAACATAAAAATGAGGAGGAGAACTTCAGTCTTTTCTTCAACCACCAAAATTTCATGCGGTACAAAATGAGGAAAAACGAGAGGATTCACTTTATCCTGGAAAATGGACTAATGAGGACACCAAATTAAAAAGAATTAAAAAAAAGGAAAGGAACCAAGAATATGAAAACATATGCAAATCATAAAGAATTGGATGTCTAATAGGATACAGTAGGAAGACGTTTTTTTCTCCACATGAAGAGGTCAAACCAAAAACAGCTGAAAGAAAACTCATGCAAACTTTTGAAAAAATCTGAAGCAGGAAAGGTCAGGATGGGAATATGAATTTCTGTGTCAACATGAACTGAATGACTGTGGTGGTCTGCTAAATGTCTGTATATGTTTGATGATAAGGAAAAATAGTATATTATATTGTACCACTGTATTTTAGAGCTCTTGGGGCGGTCAACAATTGGCAATTTGCTGATGTTTTGTTTTTTTGTTTTTTTTGCCTTTTTTTTATATTTATTAATCTGGGAGGGTGTGATCTAGCATGATCTTGTCAAAGCAGCAGACTGGATGTATGTTTTTTAATAACCTGGATGCAACATGAGCTGGATTAACCAAAATTCTTGCTGTGATTACATTTTGAAGTGCAGCAATTAATCCTGACCTATTGCTGCACAGGACTGACAAGAAGGGCTCTTAAAAACAAACAACATCTACCATGTAAGCATCAAATTAAAGACAGGTTTAAGACACAAGCTAAAAAAAGGAGTAATCTATCAAACCCCAAGTTCTCTAAAACACTATGTTTTATCCCTACTGTTCTCTATTGTGTTGTATTGTCTTACTCTTGTGATACACAAGACTGTAGAATGTCCTCTTAACCTTGAAAAGAACCTATATGTGAAAAACAATGAACACAGAAATTCGAGGATATCTGTTCTCTATTAGAATGTTTTAACGTAAGGCAAGCTTTCAACGCGAGGAAACAGATGAACAAACAGGAGAAGTAGTTTCCATTGCAGTTAGTCTGCACAATATCACATATTTTTATGCTGTAAGCATTTTTTTTGCCTTTAAACATCTCAAAATGTATCCTCTGTCAGACACACGCACACACTGCAAGAAACCAACTGTATACAAGATACATTTTGAAGCATCAGCACATACAACATGGAGATTGATACTAATTTTGTACTTTTTACGTAAAGTCTGACTCTCCTCTGGTAACCGAGGAAACAAAATTAGTATAAATGCATAACCATGTTAGTTGGGGCCCATCGTCAAGTGTAACTTTTTAGGCTGACCTAAGCTGGCAAACTCTACACTTCTATGAACTGATTCAGGTTATAACTGAATCAGTTCACAGACTGTTTGAATTTATACTTTTGAATCATTAAAAAAAAATCCTTTTTTACAAACTTCAAGAGAGCTATAGGTATTGAAAACTTCTACAATGTACATTTAGAGATATTTTCTAGAGTCTTTTGAAGTTACACTGTGCTCTCATGGGATGTGATGCTTTGAGGAAAAGACCCTCATTTGCAAATCAAAAAGGAAAGAGAGAGACCAGAATTAAGCAAGCATAAGTTAACACATCCATCCCACCTGGGTGCCCTGTGTCACACTCCTCCAGGTCCTCATCGTCACTGGAACATTCTGCTGAGGACACTATGTCATCTGTCGTCTGTCGGTTTTACCAGTAGTGCGAGAGAAAGAGAGAGAGACAGAGAGAGAGACAGAAAGATAAACGGATGTTGTCACATATTACACTTATAAATGAGATCGGCATGGAAAATAAGTGCATCATTTACTTTTTAATTTTCTATTAATTTCTTATCAGACAGTGTTATGGTCTCCTGCATACACAGCCTTTTCCATGCAAATAATGGAAACTCCTTGATGAGCTGCCATGAACTGTAGCAGTAGTAATTCGAAAAACACTTCCCAAAAAACAGAGCTTCCTGGAGACTGTTTAATTTTGTTTAATTAACAAAATTAAACATTGTTTAATGTGTTTAATTTGGAAAAACAATTAGATTGACTGGTGAACAGATGAGAGATGAAGGAACAGAGAGACAGACAGACAGATACTGTATTAACCCTGAAGGATAATTTAGAGATTTCCTTTATTCAGAGATCTGTTTGCTCTGTCACTGCCTGCTGTAAAGACTGATTTCTGTGATTTGTAGCTGCAGTAAAAACACACTTCTACCTGCCCTGGTCACCTCGAGCTACAGTCTTGGCCTTAATATTAAGTGACAGCCATTTTTCCATACCTTCTGAAAAGATCTACATAAAACAATACATAAAATATAGTTCTTTCATGTATAAAAATGCCTGGAAGCAGTAACACTAACATTTTTCTTGGTCTCAGAATTTTCTAGACACACTGATTTTTTGAGAATTAAAAGCTCCTTTGCATAAGATGTCTGTTAAAAAGTCAACAGAGAGAAATATATGCTTAAACGACAGCATCTTTGTGCTACTTTGGACAATGTCATACATCTTCATGGACTGACATCACAACCTTAGGCTCAAAAGAAGGACTGTTAACGCTATATTTGCCTACCATTGTAAGATGTTCGTTGAATACAGAACATAGTCTGAAATGGATTATCCACCCATATTAACTCACTCAGATATATCCACTCAGGGGTGCGCAGCTCAACTGATGTTACAAAAATGTTCTTCTGCAACTTGCTTGCAGTGACATAGTTCCCCCAGAGAGGTCTCCAAATACCCCTAAACTTTCAAACCCTGTGAAGTGTCATTGGCTGAGTTCTCCATTGAATTCATATGCAGTATTACCAATTTATGAATGGCAGATTGGAACGGTAACACAAACACAAAAATATCTTTGTCGCTGATACTCTTTGATACTGATTCAACACTGTGTCTACAATACTGACTGCATGTACAGTTTCCACTGCAGAATGCAATCCATTGTGATGCTAGTGATGCTGCAGCAAGTTCCAGCCCACCAGAGGAGAAGTGCTGTACTTTGAGCTCCATGTTATCTACATGGATTATTTGAGGCTTCTCCATTTTTGCCTGCAAACTGTAGCCTCTATTTTTTTAGTGCTAGAGAGAGATCAGTGTTATGTTTGTACTGGATGTGTTTTGCATGCATTAATCCAAAGATTACTAAGAATTCCATAGGCTAAATCACCTTTAGCATTGAAACTCCCATAGCGCACTGTAAGGGGGCAGCATGGCTTAATGAAAGGTCAACTGGCAAATTTGTTTTATGTGTTGCCCCCATTTAAAGCCAGTCAGGTAGCTAAAACCAAACAGCTACAACTTTGTGACAGAAAATGTCAGGTAACAAGTGTAACGTTGCATTGCCCAGCAGGTTGGGGTTGTGTACCATTGCTCTTTTTCCATTGCATTACAAGTGACTTGTGTTGCTGGGAAAAAACTGCGTATGGAACAAGAGTTTTGGTTTTCACCAGCATGCTGAGCTATTTTGAAATACTGATCATTTAAATCAATTTCTGAAGATAGAACGAATTAGCAGGAAAGAAAGTCTATTTTCAAACTCAGTTTATCATGTCTGTAGCCCCACAGGTGTTAATAAAAATCGTTCATCAGAATAATACTTGAAAAAGTTCTTTCACATTTGATATTCATGAAAGCAGTTTTTTATACTTGAGCCATAATAGAAATTTAAATAGATGTTTTCCAGTACAGAATGTGTGTACTTTGTCTGTCACTGGTGAGAGACCAGTGGATCAGGGAGTCAGCAACACGTGATGGAGTCAAACTTTGTGTGATAAATAGAACCTTACATGTCTAAGTATTAGACGCTCTTAATGTCTCGTAAAGTGCCAAGTTAATGGAAGGCCAAAATAGAGGAGATGATATGGGCAAGAGAAAAAAGATAGACAGAGGTCTCCAATATATATTAAAAATCAGAGTATTTTGAAAGAATTTTAACAAACAGATTCAGGAGGAGAAGAAAGGTTTGTAAAGGCATAAATAATACTAAACTTTGCTAATCTGGCACCCTGCCTAGCATGGCATGACTGATGTTAGTACGGAACAACAGAACGTAGGGACTGTCACAAAGGTGTTGATGGAGGGCACAGGGTAGTTGAAGAAAGGAGAGGTGAAATAAACATTACAAAGCCATTAGACTTTTCCTTGGCCAATAAAGAAAGGAAAATGCCAGGAGCAGAGGTTAGACATGAGAGAGAACTGTGAGACCCAGGGAGATGCCAGTTTGAGATTTTGGCAGTGTACGTCATGAAATAAAGAGGTAAGTGTTAGCGGATGCTGGAAGAATGGTGAAGATAAAACTCAAGAGAGGTTGGGACAATGAGGGAAGAGGACAGGAGAAATGGGGGAGGGGTTGAGAAGTGAGAAGACCTCAGAGGAAGTAGGTGATGGGCTAGCTGAAGAAGCAGATTAAAGTTTGTATAAGCCATATGTTAACCATGCTTCCTGTAAATATTTTATTTAGGTAATGTCTCTCTGGATTTTTTTTATTAATTAAAGAATGAATATTAATTTTAAGATTTTTAAAAAACATTTAAGGTTTGTATTCTTCAAATAACTTGTGATTTATGTCATCTGCAGCCATCTGCTGCAATTTCCATCAGTTTGCAGTTTTCTCTTGATATTTTATTATACCCTTCATGGCGGATGCTGGCACTACAGGGAACATCTACTGAGCTTACAACTGATATTTTGTTTGTGGTCTTAAATGACGTGTTTCGTTCACTGCAACCATCAAATGGACCACTCAGAAACCCATACTAAAAGTGTTCTAATCAATTGCTCAGCTTGTATTTTATTTGGCAGTGTAGCAATACCAGTAACATTCTTCTCTTTGACTGGTCTTCTCTTTGCAGTTCGTGTTTTCCTGCAAGTATTTGCTACTGGCTGCATGGTAGTGGCAAATTGCTTTTGCTCTTACTATGCTCTGCATGAGTGCAAATCAAAGTCTTTTGAAGGTATTATACATGTCCAAAAGGTAGCAACATCAGCAGAAATGTTCAATGTGCCTCTCAAGGACCACAAACAGTAGCTTACAGCAGGAGTATTGTCACAGATTAAGCCCAATCAGATGAGGAAAGAATCCTTTTTAAGCCAGTTTTTTCCAGATAATGCAATTTGATTTATTTTCAGGAGTGCTGTCACTTTATTATGGCCAATCAAATTATTACGTTCTCTGCCTTATTTTCTCAACGCTCCAATCACAGCACAGCAACTGTTGCTATTCGGCATTGCCTCAAGTCTCAATTCGCTATCAATGTGCCAGCATTGTACACCTTAGCTGTCTGATTTGATTTCAGTCATGTTGTCTTCTTTGGGTCTGACTGCTGTGCCAGTGTGCTTTGGCCAGGAATTATTCTGTTTAGGTTTTTTAAGCTTGCTGTATTGTGCTTTGTACATCTCAGCTGTCTGATTTCATCATTCTTCATTTCTTCATTGAGCAAATGTGCCTGTGATGAGCAGACATACGCTTTCTAGTCTCTATAGTAAGGGGTGCTGCAGTGTTGGCTGTGTCTAATTTTGTTAAAAAAAAAAGATAAGTAAACATAAAAGCCTACCATACACATTGTTTGATAAATTAAAAATGCATTATCCAGAAATAAAGACTGGACAAAATCAATATCCAGTAAATTGTGTTATTTTTAAAAATATACCATTTTTGTTTTACTGTCCCCACGAATGTGTGTGTGTTTTTTACTGTTTAATGTGTTAGGCTTTACATAGTTAAATCAGTTACTACATAATAACATATTACTTAATAACATTACAAAAAAAATGTTTCAATAATTTAACCTAAAAAAGTAATTAACCTGGATAAATGATCACCCTGATAACATAAATTTCAAATAATGTAAGAAGGTATTACATAATCAGTAAAAATAATACTAAATTGTTGTGTTTTATTACATTTTTAAATCAAGTGCATTTTTTGCATTTTTAGGTTATTACATTGCTGAGTTTTAATTATTGCATTAATGAGTTTTGCATTGCTGCAGTTTGAGGTTTTTCTTAGCACATTAACCTTTATATAGATTGCACTTAATAATAACACTTTCAAAATTAGTCTAGTATACAAAAACTTTTATAAATAGTATACTTGTACAGAAGGCTTTCAATACATTTTACTGTCACAGATCATTACTAACTAAAGAATATCAGACATTTGGTTTATGCATGTATTGCATGTATGTATTTTTAAATCATGCCTGTCCTTGTCCTTTCTTTCTGTTTCTCTTTGTCAATAACCTGGATAGCCAGCTGTGTTATATTTCACAATTCTATGTCAAGCAAGCATGCTTATTAGGGAGGGCTGACACAGCAATAAAATAAGCCCTGTCAAAACGTAGGGATTCTGAAATCATATCACTGATTGAGTTTGCAGTGCTAGGGGAGAGGATCCAGGCTGTTACAATTATTAAACTTGACAGACCAATGAAACTGAGATTGGCTGGAACCTGAGGAACTAGGCAGCCAAGGCCTTGTGGGTAAGTAAGTTCATCTGTCCAAATGAGTGTATATGAGATAAGAGAAGGCCAAGAATCCATTCCTAACACACACAACACACACACAATCAATGTGACATTAGCAGTGTGGCCATGTCAATGTGGTTCACTGAATGTGCAAAAAGAAGAAACAAAAAGAAGGATCCATGAATCAACCATGTTGGACTTACTAAGCATCTAAGAG